ACACACCCTTCAGATGCGCAGGAATGAGGCTACTTAAAGCGATATTTGGTAAAAACTAGTAATTGGGTTAAAAGACTATCAAGTACACAAAATCTGAGCATGTAGCATGCAAAGTTCTATGTACAGAAGTGCTTAAATGACAAGGAAAAATTGAAAGAAATTAAAGTGACTGAGCACTTAAAGCAAAGAATAGCAGATGTACTGAGGCTGCAAAAGTCAAAAAGAGAAAAAAACACGAAGACTGAATTGTTTACCTTTTAGTCCAAATTTTTCTTCAGTCATGGTTGCGTAAAATTTCCAACGGCTTACACTTCAATAACGTGATCGTTCAGCCAATAAATTGTGGAAGAACAAAGATGTTCTAGGAAAGAAGGTGATGGCTACTGTATATGGTTACCGATCCGATCAGAATTTGAGTCGTAACAACTTTCTTCACCATCCTTCTAGCTGCATTGATTAGCCCGTTGGAACTCCTACTGTGCTAATCTCGAACATGACGACAACGTCTCGATGTATTTTGCCCTCTTTAAGGGTGTTTTTTTGCTTATCTCATCTTGTTTAAAGCTTAAAATGGAGTCCTATAATCTAGACCATAAGTCTTTGTAAAGAGATGAAAATGCTCTAGCAAGGCTTTTTCGGGATTCCAGGGAAAATAAATCTCTAAAAGAGGAAAATCTTCCGAAAGCATTCTTGACAACGAACCTGTCCACTATCCGAAGTTCAGACAGAACTGTTGGTTTAGTTCGTCTTTTGCTTTGTTATAAAAGAAAAAAAGTGGGTAGAAACATTTCATTTCTCTAATCTCTTTATTTGGAGCGAAAAAAAAACAAAGTTGTAGAAACGCTATTCGTTGTACTAACGGCTCATCCCAATGGTTACAACATTCATTTCCAGTCTTTTGGAAAGAGTGATGGTGAGTATTTGACTTCTCTGGCTTTCAATTTCGTTTCTTTTGTAAAATATCATATCATGCAGCGACCGAGCGACTCACTGGAGTTTTATAGTGATTGTTAACATTTTGAAAGCCAAAATATTGGCATTAGAAGGTAAATAGGGCTAGTGTAATACAGTGGTTAACAGGTTCTTCAATAGACATAGGTTTTGGTATGATTTTTTTTAAGATAACTAATCAATGCAGCTAGAAGGATGGTGAAGAAAGTTGTTACGACTCAAATTCTGATCGGATCGGTAACCATATACAGTAGCCATCACCTTCTTTCCTAGAACATCTTTATTCTTCCACAATTTATTGGCTGAACGTTATTCACGTTATTGAAGTGTAAGCCGTTGGAAATTTTACGCAACTATGACTGAAGAAAAATTTGGACTAAAAGGTAAACAATTCAGTCTTCGTGTTTTTTTCTCTTTTTGACTTTTGCAGCTTCAGTACTACTGCTATTCCTTGCTTTAAGTGCTCAGTCGCTTTAATTTCTTTTATTTTTCCTTGGCACTGAAAAATGAGGAAAAACGCATTGAATTTCTTCCAGATTCTAAAGAAGGCGATACTGTCGAAACGTTAACTACTGTTGTGTTGTATATATTCTTGTGCGGAAGTAAACGTGTGCCGTATAACAACCCCGCGATTACTAAGAAAGGGAACGACGCATTTATAATCCAGTAACGGGGTTAATAGAAAGTTGATCCTGGAAACTATGGTACACAGAGTAAGTAAAAAAGAATGCAAACAATATGAAAGTATCTTCAGGAATTTGCGAACTTAAGTACCAAAAGGAAAACGATATAATGTCATACATCGCTCTCTCAGAAGACAGAATATTAGATGAAATTTTTTGACAAATAGCGATCCTTATATCCTCTGAAGTGGTGGAGTTAATGCCAGAGACAATAAGATTTATTACTGCTCCCGAAAAGGTTCTATATTGGTCTGATTTTGTTGCACGTTCGTTACTGCATGCTGTGAAATCACCCCATAGTCTTGCGTCCTCGTTATAAGTAAAAGCGTTTGGCAGTGGCTGTAACAAAATCATAAAGAAGATAAAGTTCTCGGCGTTGATCAATCCTTTTAGGCATGCACCATGCATTCGACTTCATTAAGCATCGTATGAAGGTGATTGCATGCATATCTGACATTTACAATGACTTTCGGTGATGAACTGATGTATAAAACCGGTGTTTTTAACCATCTTGGACAAGTATGATACCAACTTATCAACGACGGAGGAATGAAAGACATAGTGAGCTCAGGTAAGGCGACCGAACTAAGCACTGTGTTTGTATTCATGGCACTCTAACCACTACGCTAAAAGTACCCTAAAGAATACAGAATTACGTAAAACTATGATAGGGATACCCTGCAGTGAAAATTTTAGTAGGCGTTAAATAAAATAGGTAGAAAAAAGGTAGCATTGTGATTTCGAAGGCAGCCTCAGCTTGACTGGGTCAATGCCGATATGGGCTCCACAGATCAATCCCGTTGACGGGTGACTACTGATGGCACTAGTAGAAAGGAAAACTAGCTAAGAGAAAGGTGAAACGAAGGAGAGGGAAGCGCATGTGTGGTGGTGAACGCGTTACCCTCCCCCTCCCCCCGAAAAAGGTAATAGCGCGTTTGTTCCACACCTCAGACACTTGCCATCCAGAGTTTTGCAAATATCTCAGAATCATTGTGGTTATCCCGCGGTGAAAAATCTAGCAGGCAGTAAATAAAAGTTAGTAAAAAAGCTAACATTATTATAGGGATTGTTTGGTTCTGTGGAAATATTCAGTATTCTACATGCGTGGTTTCGAATCCTTCAATAGCAGAAGGTTTCGAACTTGTGTGTGGGCACGATTATCACTCAAGAACTTTGTCTTCTTCACAATTCTACTCAAGCGTCACCCTGCATTCTATGAGAAGCTTTGCTATAACTTTATCATCAATATCATCATCATAATCATAATCATAATCATCATTAACCACATCAGTCGGCAGCCTCGAATCCACCACTAATTTGCATACCCCGGGAGGATAACGTAGTGGGTTAAACCGAGGCGAAATTGAAGCATCCCAATACCTGTGTTGCAGGACTACTCTAACTCATAACCTAGGCGCACCATTGATTCTCTTGCCCCTTTTCTCAGTCTTTCAGATTTTTCTATTAAATTAGGCGAATTTCTTCTCACTAATCAATAGAGATTAGTTTGATATTTACTTTTGTAGTTGGCTCATATGTTATGATTATTATTCATGCAATCACCTTCGATCGTTCATCAAGCTGAACCCACTCCCTACTGATGTCGGAAGTTGAAATCGAACACCTGTCAAACATCACCAAAGTTGCTCCCACCACCCAGAACTTTTCGGTGAATGTATGTGCTATCAAGAAGCACCATCGTTAACTATTTTCTCGCTATTGAATCTTTTCAGCTGTTCGGCGTGAACAAAATGATCAACGACGGGAAGGGAATCTTGTTGTCGTAATGTTGATGTGTACGGTTTTCATGCGGTAATTCTTTGGTACAACTGCCTGTAATAAAAATTAGCCAATAGTTTGATACACACTCTTAGAAATATCGACTGGTAAATAATGGAAAGACATAATTGGACCATCAATAGATGCAGCTAGAATTGTCTTCACGTATATTACTTACGAACGGGAGAGTAGGTTTAACAGACGTTCCTCATTGGAAATTGCACGCGCTATTTTAAACGCAGGCCAGATTTTGAGTGGTTCCATTCCTTCATCGGTTAAACCCGTATAGACAACAATAACTTTTCCTCGTTTTACCAGTTTTTAAACGACTCGGTATCTCAGTAAATACTTTACACATATTTTCCACATTTAAGATATACATATATGTGTTTCTGAGTGTGGGGCTGCGATGTACAACGGGAGGATTCGTCCCCCCACCCCCGGCAGGATGTCCCAATCAGAAACGGGGTCTGTCGTTTCCATCAGGAAGCCTAGCTAAGAGTAAACCAATAGCAGGATCCACCACCGTCCTGGTACGAAGCTTGTTGCATGGTGGCAAATCTCTCCCGATCCACAAAGGCCAGCGACTGCCTGTGGTGGTGACGTCCTGGGGCAGATTTTAGCCAGGCTGACTTCGGGTCTCCCGGGAACAACGATGGCTAGACCAGCAAAACTCCGAGCAAACAGAAATCATGCTGAGGCCCGCACAACTGGCCATCCAAGTGTGCTGGTAATAATAGCAACATGACCGCTAAGATGTTCACGGTTGTCGTAGACGAAAACTAGTGGTGAAAACAATTCATTTACACGATTAGACGAATGTTTGACTAAGAAAAAAAATATCCGCACAAATCTCATCCAATCTCACAAATGTACGCATACACACCACAGATGATCTTCGATCTACAACAGAAAATCGATAATAAGCAGTTAACTCGTAAAATCCGCATATGAACGAACAAAAGATAAAGAAGAATCGCACAGATGTTCTAAAAATTACATAAATTTCTACAGGAAAAAAGACCTTGCTACTCCATAGGAAAAAAAAACATAAACCTAATAAAGAAAAAATGATTACGTGTGGAGGAAAAAAGTGAATGAAATGTACCGGACCGATGCGACTTAAAGACGCCGGCTGGCAACCGATAGTGTAAAAGAAAAAAAACAGAAATAAAAATAGATAGCGAAGAAAATAGGGTAATAAAAAATTACGTATGAAATGAGAATAGTAGGTCCTGTTTAATCACACATAAGACAAATGATTAGAAACAGAAAATGCACCATATAAAACGAATAGACATCGATCGACGTGGGAGAACAAATAATACGGTGGAATGATTTCGAGAGTTGGTCTGAATCGCATTTAACATTTCTCGAGTAGAATTCGAAGAGAACTAAAAGTTAATGACAAAGCGAAAGCTTTTTTTTTCGAAAAGGAAACGAATGTTTTAATATCCAGGCAAAGAATTTCGTCCAGAGTTCGCGAGCGATCGCGCGATGCGACGCTACGCTGTCGCTCATCCTCGCCATGTATTGTCAATTCGATCGATTCATTAATTATTCATTACCTTTTAATCGATATGATCATCAAGCGACTAGCCGAAAGATTGAACAATTCGCCTCGGGCAAATCGTTTACTTCAAACACAAAACCGATCACCATCAACGTTTCACCAGTGGATTGATTCGTGACCACCTGCAGTATCGACTGATTGAATAACAGTTTATTGTACAAAGCACCCCATGAAATTCTAATACTATCGACCACGTTTTGAGCTTCTAGAAAGCGTCAGAATTTATATGTGAGTGCAAAAATCCCAAGGTTTTCATCTCGCCATTTTCATTTCTTTCATTGCAAAACTAAAGGTGCATGCATACGTAGTGATTTTGCAGCATCGTAAGGACCACAGTATGAAAAATTCAAGCTGACAACACAAATCAAGATATCTAATGTGCAAAATCACGCGCTCTGATCTCTAAGTATTGATCGGTACGATATAGGTGGCGCAACAAAAAACTGATGTACCTGTAGCACCGTAAAATTCTCGAGAACATTATTCATGTAATCTCGTGATTCCAGTTTCTTCAATTCCGAAATGAATTTCACCATGTACTCGCAAATTGGTGACTTCTCCAATCGAAAACAATAATGACCGTTCTCCTTGTCAGGTGAATAGACCTAATAAAAAACAACTGTAATTGTAAATATAATTGGTACTGATCGATAAAACTAGTTTAGAGACAGGCAAATCGAAGGACCCGCGTGGTGTGGTGGTGAACGCGTTAGCCGCCGGAAAGGGTAATAGCACGTTCGTTCCCCACCGCAGACACCAGCAGTCCGGAGTTTTGCAAATATCTCACTCAGCATCCTTATGGTTGTATTTCGCATAATACCCTGTCTTGAAAAATTATAGTGGACAGCAAATAAAAAGTAAAACATTGTTTGAATAAGTAAAAAAATTCCCATTTCTAGCTTTCAGAAAAGAAAACGATAAGATTATTTGGCATCTACAGGTGCCGATCGGATCGTTTATCAAGCCGTAAATTTCCTTATATCGATCAGAGGAAATTTCGGCCTTTGAGAAACTGAGAGCATCAATTCTAATTTGGAAATTGATTAGTTTAAAAAAACCTGTGTTTTCCTTTCAATTGAAAAAAAAAGAGGAAAAGATGAAGGAGAGAGAGATGAATATGATTTCGAATCGAAAAACAACAGGACAACTGGCATAAACAACTGTCACTAATAAATTTTCGTTCGTTCTCCAAAAATCTTAAGTTTCTTCCCAAGAGAAATCCGCAATCTAAATCCACCAAAATTTAGCATTCCAAAATTAAAAATAACAACATTTGTATCCCTGAAAACTTTTCGAAGGACATCTACGACAAAATGAGCCATATATGGCCCATTCGCGTTACGGCATTTTATTTATGGACAAGTGATTGTCTTAATCTACCTATTTGCGGTACAGTAACAGTGTATTCACGTAGTATGTCAAGAACAATGAAGAGAAAAATAAAATTTAAGACTAAAGTGACGTCAGCGTGTCAAGGACAGAAAGCGGAACTATATAGACTATGAACTTTTTCTTTGATAAGCTAATGGTAAGCGAATCAAAGAAAGAATACATATTGATTAGCAATATCGAGGTTAAGGAAACGTCGGTTTTGAAATATATAGGTATAATCAATATGTACTCCTTCTTTGATGACGTTACAAGGGGTTGGTAATTATATTTATTTTCGGCTAACGTTTCGACGTCTTCGTCTTCCTCAGAGCCGATGATCCAAGTCGGTGGTCCTCGCTTGTTATTCGTCTTGATGTGGTAGCTTCGCCTTCGTGTCGAGTCAGGTCTTCCTCAGCGGGCCATCTCGAATGAGACATACTGACTCGATCCAAGGAAAGTCGGTTTCGAAATATTACTACGCTTTGTGCTAGCTGATAATAACGCCGACTTCTGCATGTTTGATTGTCCGAGAAAAACAAGTTACTATCAAACTATCGCCGGACAATCACAGCTATCCACCACCAGCAATCCGCATAAAAGGGCATCACCGAGTATAAAGAGTATATTTGAAGTAAAAAATGAATAGAAGAAAACTTCACAAATAACTGGCATGCTGCAAAATTGTGTTTATCTTTTATTTATTACAATTGTTAAAAAATGCGAAAGCTTATAAGAGGTAAGAATTTGAAAAAAAAATCCAACCTCAACTTTCTCAACGACCTGATTTCCAAATGAGCACACCTTCGTTGAAACGCTAATATCGAACTTCTGCTGTGAATTGTAGTACGAATCCACTGCATACAGACTGTTTCTGGATTTGAATAATATTTAAAAAAACCGATCTATTTTTAAAACTGATTAGAGCAGAGGCCAAATTATGTTCAGATCGGGAGTGGTCCATTAATAGTCAAATCACATGCGTCTCTTTCCTAATTGGGCAATCACACCTCCACAATCTGATTGGCTGATAGATACTGTAGTACGTGCAGATTTCATCGGTTGAACCTATTCTTTCCGAAAATAGAAGTTCCCCTTATGTCCTACTGCATAAAAACAATAAAAATATGCGAAAAAATGGCAATTCAGAACAAACTTTTGCCGCTTGTGATGGTTAAACAAGTATCTAAGACGGTTCGGTACTTTTCTAGCAATGAATTAGCCACGTAGGATTGAAGACTTTAAATGCGCATACAGTAATAAAATCACGACTTCTAAGTTTTCTTTACAAATAAGTATCGAGGATGAAGGCGTGAAAGTTGTTGGCTATACTAAAAAGCAACCGAAAAGAATCCAATAAAAAGAATAAAAGGGTAAAGCCGTCGGCATTGATCAATTCCTGAGGGATGCGTCATGCATTCGGCTTCATTAAACATCGTTTGACGTGATTAAATGCATATCCTTTACCTTTACAATGATTCGTAATGGTCTGCCGGTGTATCGAGCTTGTGCTGCTATCCTCCCAGACAAGTCTGGTACCAATTTACCGATCCCAGAGGGATGGAAGACTTGGCAAGCCTGGAGCACGGGGGTCGATCCCATGTGTGTTGCAAGGCGTCTCCGACCACTGCGCTACACGCGCCCTCACAATCCAACAAACATCATAAAAGTGGTGGTGACAGTGGCAACGATGAAGATATCCGTGGGAACGATTCACTTGCTATGATAATACTGATATTGATGACTGCAATGATGACCACGGCGGTGATAACGATGATGATGACGATGACGACCATAGCGATGGTGGTGGTAAGGATGACTATCACGCTCTAGAAAAAGATGATGATGACCACAACGATAGATAGAACGGACATAATAATAATGACGACGGCAATGATAGTCACACTGGTGACAATGCTGATGATAATGGTGGTGGTCTTACAATGGCGATGATGTGGATAACGAAGATGATGAGAACAGTTATTTTAGTGGTGATTATGGTAATATTGATGGTGACAATGACGAAAAAAGAACTGACGGAAAAGCTTACTCAGTATCAGACGAATCGAATGAGACGTTCGCCCAGCATTTCGCAAGGAAAAACGCATCAGACGGACCGCGTTCGAATAGCTCCGTCAGCAATTTCGGATATTTCTCCACCACTGTCTCCAATTTCAAGGTCTAAAAATTTTTAAATGACCCTTTACCTGTAAGAAACCCGACAAGGTATTCAGAAAAGCACTGAACTGTTACGTAACTACACATCACTACAGCTAAAGAAGAATAAAGTAGACTTTTGCGATGAAAGCGCATTCTGTGGTCTTGTTTCGGAATAACACCAACCAGCAATCATAGATTTTTCTGTATTTTCCCCTTATCTCAATCGTTTTTCGTGTTCACAGTTACCTTCGGCTGTAAGTCATCTGTGATTTTACTTCGTTTAGGAATGGTTTTCTGTATGCTCAGACTTCTATGAATCGCTTTGACCCATGTTCATCATTTTGAAAAGCAATGCTCTACAGTATGATTTCTTTCAATAAACGATAAAACGACTGTAAAAGTGACTAGAAGTCTCATTCATTATCAATTTGATTTACCGGTTTTTGGAAAAAAAACTGAATTCATAAAATCAATCTGATAGTGTTCGATTCGAAAACCTTACCTCCGTTTCAACGACATCTCGCGGAATACTGACAATATCGACGCGGGATCCATGCGGTGATTCCAGGTATCTAAAGAAGTCAGTACCTTGAAAAATAAAAGAAAACGAGAGAATGACCAAAGGAACGACATGAAAATGAAGAAATACGTGAAAATGAATATGTACGTCTCTGTTCTCTTAGCTCTATCTGTTTAGGTAAAAGTGGAAGTTTATTGATAGCAAAATATATGAACGCAGTGTTCTAAGTATGGGATTTATCGACCATCCACAGTATTCGTAATCGCAGTCAATTTAAGCATCTTCTGAGATTAGAACCCTCATCGTCAGCAGATAAAGCTTAATTCGCTACAACCGGTTTCCAAGATAAAATAGCTCTACAGCTTTTGTTGTCTAGTCTACTATATTTTCTTGAATGGGTAGCAGCGAATTTGCCCACAGTTGTTCTGCGACGCTCGAGATCGCTGGTTCCATCCCATGCTTGAGCAATCCTGTTACCTTTTGGGGATTAACAAATTGGTACCGAGTAAGTGTGAGAAGATGAAAACACTAGCTTAGCAGATCGGCAAGATTCTGTGAGTCATTGTCTGGATGAAATACGCATCGAATCACCTAGCATAAATCTCTATTAAGAATGGAGTCGAATGTATAGCTTGTCCCTTAGAGTTTGGTAGAACCGAGTGGTAGACTTTTTGTCAACCTTTTATGCATTTGATTTTCTCGAAATTTCATCGAAACTGTCGGAACCTACCAAGACGATTTCACCGTAACCGTAATCCAGTTAAGAAATCCAGTAATCTTCTGAAAATGTTTAAAAACCCCTCGTTAAGCAATTTTTTCAAAGTAGAGACCATGTTTTTCATACTTTTCAAGCTCTATTTGAGATTCTTTAATGGTGGACTATGCGATTTTCTTAGAAGTGATTTCAGGCCCACCCAATTTGGTCTTCCCTTTTTGTTGCAATGACATGAGTTTCGTTGAATAAGAGTTTGGATTGTTTAAGCAGGGATTGAACGAATGGCGACAATATTCATTCACGATTGTACGCCACTGCACCAACTACTACAGTTGTTATCCATCAGATAATTTTTGAGCTTAAGGACAAGTAATCATCACATGAATTTACCCACTTTTTAAAAATAGAATCGATGCATCAAATCTATCCAACTTCTAATCTTACCACTGCTTTTATTCAAACCTGACTAAGTCATAAAAATATCTGTCTATAAGCTGCACCATAATATAGCTTAAAATAACTACATTAAAACTTACGCTTGGAATCCAGTGAGTCGTAATTTGGAAGATGCGATTCCGTCAGCGGTCTTTCGCGCAACAGAGACAGCAGCCGTCGGCAACGGTGCCACCGCCGCGGTTGCGAACGGTAAGGTAAAGTCAGGCGCCATACTGAAAGCATAGAAAACAGGTCGTTAGCCCAAAATATGAATCTAAATAAGAAAGAAACACTTGAGGAACGACGGCAAGATGTCATGACAATTTTTTCGCCACCCATAAACATAAGCTGCAATCGTGCAGTCAGCGGTGAAACTTGGGATATCACTATCAGACCGTCCTCGAGCAGATGAATAACTAATCTCAAGAACCACAGCTGTCCTGGAAGCATCTTAGTAGCAATCCATCAAAGCGCTTCCGATAGAGAGTGGACAGCACTCTTTGTCATGAAGACTTGAGTACACTCTAGGGTGACTCTAACAACAGGCATCACTACTGCCCCGGATGAAACGTGGTCGCAAGTTAACAGACAACATTCTGATCCACAACGCCTAGTGGCGACTCTCCGTAGCTGGATGCCCTAGTTACGTCTCAGCATCATTATCTTATTGGCTTATGATTAAAAAAACCACACCCAACCAGCAGTCAAAATTTCAAAAGGAAAAGAGGCGATAAATCCTCAAGTTATAGATGAAAACACATACGAAACCGACTATACAGAAGACAGCTGCTGTGTTGGTGGAATAAGAAGCGAATAGAAGAATCATACCAACGTTTGTGAACAAATACCACTTGCCGTCCGAAACCCGAGTAAGTAACGATGGAAAGATGACGCGTGAAAAGCTTGTCTTATTTCAAATAAACAAAAGTCCCACGGGTCAAAAAGAAGAAGTTATCGATTCCCACGACCGACTTCCTTTTAAACTCGGCATTGATTGATAATTCGATGTTTTTCTTCAATAAGTAGACACGAGGCTGTTATTATAGGATTTGTTAGGATACAATAGCTGACGTTTCGGCGGATTCGTCTTCTTCAGAGCCGTTTATTTGTTGTAAGTATAACTTCATGGGCGATAACTTCGGTTTACTCTGTGCGGCTGCTATCCACCAACTAACTTTAATACTTACAACAACTAAACGGCTCTGAAGAAGGCGAAACCGCCAAAACGTTAGCTATTGTATCCTAACAAATCCTATAATAACAACCTCGTGTCTGCTTATTGAAGAAAAACATAGAAGTTATAGAATTCGACAGGGAACAAGGGACAAACCGGAACGTATGCAATGCAGATTCTTCGTATTTCTTAACTTTGTACTGTAAGAAAAACTGACAACAATATCGACGTTTCTCAATCCTGCCGGCGATTCGGGAAAGAAGACCCAATATAGATAAGGACAAAACTCGTCGATTAAGATAGCGCTTATCCTTAAATGAATAACGTTCAAACTTTATCAACAGTCTTAACCCCTTCATTTACTGCCTTTTTCTTTTTAATGGCAGGGTATATTGCGAAATATAACTCGTATATAATGCTGAGATATTTGCAAAACTCCCCACCGTATACACCTGGGGTCCGGAGTTTTGCAAATATCTCAGCTTTATCAACAGTGTTTTTCTCTTTAATAACCTGTTTTTCCGTTAAAATCTTTGAATTTTTCAGAGAAGGACCAACATAATCAAAAAACTACGTAGAAGAATAGCCTGAAACAAGGTAAAAAATAAAGGATAATGCTCTCGATGTTGATCAATCCCTGAGGGATGCGCCATGTATTCGACTTCATTAAGAGTCGTTGGAGGTGATTCAATGCATATCTGGCCTTTACAATGACTCGCGGTGACCTACCGATGTATCGAGCCAGTGCTGCTATCCTCCCAGACAAGTCTGGTACCAATTTGCCCACACCGGAAAGATGGAAGGTTTGGTGGGAAGTGGGCGCGGGGATCGATTCTACGTGTGTGTTGCAAGGCGCTTCCGACCACTGCGCCACACGCCCCCTTGTGGAACAGAGTAATGTAAGGAAAAAGCACAATTTGGTATTTAGCTATACCATGTCTTCTCCACTTGGATATTTGTTATGTTCTTTCAGCGGACTCACGGAAGTCATGTATATCGCATATTTTCCTTCAGAACCACACAACACTAAGTTCTAAGACACGTAAGTCACCCTCGTATAATTTTGCCCCAATCTTTGCCGAAAACTTTGAAGATTAACCACGAACTGCTCAAAACACTTTGGTTTCATTTTTCTTATTTTTTTTTTTACAACAACGTGTAAAAACGGTGCTAGCACGGATTAGATTGATGTTTCAGAAAGGCTAAGAGTTTGACATCATCGCCATCTCCGACCACTTTTTACGTCACCGCTGAATATATCGAAGAACTTGATATACGTGAAAGAGGAGACGGAATAAATACCACTGAAGGACAGTAACTAATCAAAATTATGAAGAAAAACACCATCACGAAGTAGCTATTGTATGCCTAAGATATGTCAAACTGAAGTATTACTCGACTTTTTAATAGGGATGCGTACAAGCATATTGACTAGCAGTGCTGTTCAATATGCCTACAGTCGGCGGCTTGACGAAGCACAAGGCCAACTAGAACCTCAACCCTAAGTGGAGCGCAAAATGGCGCCATATTTACCTAAAAAATCTTCCATCAGTCCACAAAGGATAGCGAAAATCTCTGTGGTGATGAGCAGGGGAAAACTTTAGCACAGCTATCCGAGGACTCCAAGGAGAATTGACTCGACCAACATTCAACGACAATCATGAAGAAAGCGAAATCACTCAATTCGCAGCCGAACTCTGTCGCAAAACCGAAGACTTTCGCAGATAAGGAATGCGAGCAAACGATGTGAATACAAAAAGCGTTGAGATCAACGAAATATAACGGAAAGGGTCACAAAAAATTTTAAAAATCGAGTTTCTTCTAGTGTTCTTGTTGCCCGCTTTTCTAATATGCCATATTCGCCTTTGCAAATAGACTCACTTCATTCGCCATCATTGCGACCATCCAAAAAACACAATAGAATGTCCTGCTTTGAGGTTGAGTCACGCATTCGACTCTACACGTACCATCGTAAAGATGATCGAGTGGACATTTGGAGTATGCGACAAGTTTCGTGCGTCTACCGATATTCTATGTGCGATTTCACGCCCCGAGATAAGTATGGTACCAATTTCCGATCCAAATGGTGGTTTGTATGCCATGGACACCGGCTCAAACCAAAGACCAGGCCTGCATTGCAGTTCACCTTTAACCGCTGCGCTGACCACGCCCTTCCACGACCCATTTAGGAAGGAAATCGTAAATTGATAGAATAAGTAATCCAAGAAGAGAGAAAAGGAACTCACGCAAACGGTTTTACATCCGGTGTGAAATGAGCTGATGGAAACGGTTGTGACCAGAGAGTTTGGTACATAGTGGCCGGAAGTAATGAAGCCTTTCCTAATTGAATTCTTTCAATTACTCACTTCTTATTGCGTTTCGTCGCTTAAAATCATCCTTGACAATAAAAAACACCTTTAAACATCTTGTACGAAGAATAAAGCCAAGAAAAACTCTAGAAAAAAAAGGTGTATCACATTAAGGAGGTCTATAAGAATACTTTACGCATCCTTCGTTTTCTGCTGAAAGAAACCGACCTATAACAACCTCTCTGATCCTGGCAAACTTTAATCTTGCTTAATTGATACTTGAACGGCCTGTCCTCAGTGCTTGTGCGGACCCCAGCACAATCACCATTTCTCGGAGATTTTCTGGTTAAGCCATTGTGGTTCCGTGGATACCCGAGAGGTCAGTCAGGACAAAGTCTGCCCCCGGTCGTCACCACCACAGGCAGTCGCAGCCCCTATGGATCAGATGGGGATTTGCCACCACGAGACTTTGATACCAGGACGATGGTGGAGCCTAGTATCGGTTTACTTTTAGCTAGGCTTCCTGTTAGAAACGTCGGACTCCTTCTCAACTTGGGAGACTCTGCTGGGAGTGAGGGACGATTCCCTCCACTGTACATCACAATCCGACACCCAGGAACACCTCTCACCCACGATGAGGCAGTAAAAACTCTAGAAAAGTTGGGAGGAAAACTTCAGCAACAACTCGAATCCGTGATCCATAGTGATTATCGATGAAATGATGATTTGGTGAGTCTTTTTAAACATTTTTAACATTTTCCATGCGGAAGCATTTTAATCAAAAGATTTTTAAAAACTAACCAAGTAACTGCTGAGCGAGATGTTCCTTAGCATCAGTGAGATGAGGTGGTTGCGGTATATTAGGAAGCTGAAAATCACTTATGACTGACTATAAAAAGTTTCAACGTGATTAAACCAATTTTTTAGAATATAGAGAAAGAATAAGACGAAAATTTTTGGTGCGCAATAATAAATAATAAGCTGTTACAGGTCGGAAACTCCTCTTTCCTAATCAAAAACCATAATCTGTCGCTTTTCTCTTCCGAAATTCTAAACGACGACTCATGACAAGTTCTCTCGCACTATTTAGCATGGGTTTTGTTTAGCACGGTCCAAATTTCAAAGGATGACGGAAACACTCCATTTAGCAATCCTGGCGCTTTTGACCACGACTTCTTACTTTTTACGGACTTGGCTTTTTGCAGAAACGGAACCATTTGATAACTAAAGGAATTAAGAAGTTGTGAACAAGACAGGATTGTCGGAAAGAACTCATCCCATCGCTCTGTTGGTAGGAGTGATATTTATTTTACTATTTAGTACATGTTACTATGGTCCATCAAGCAAACGCATTGTTATTAGCACTTGGAAGGATTTCTTGGCATAAGCTGAATCTATACCATCACCTTTTGTACCCGCAAATTCCATACAACAACCATAATCATGATAGAAATTAGAATGAAACAACAGCTGAGTAATAATGTTTTAAGTTTTTGCTCACTTTCTATCTTTTTTTCTCATGGCATGGTATGATGCGAGGTACAACCACGAGGATGTTGCGATATGAGCAAAACTCGAAACTTCAATTGTGCTTCGAACCTGCGATTACCACTACTGGGAGCTCACGTGTTACCATCTGCACCAACCGAAGCCCTTGCTTGGCCTTCCTCTCAGTCATTCTCAATTTATTCCGTTGGTGTTGTCAGCAATCACCCATCAACAGAAATGACTAGAAGAGCACGAATCGACACTTAACCCCGTCGAGCTGAACTGCAGTCGAAATCAAAATGTCTTAACTTTCATTTGTTGCCTACTCCTTTTTCCGTGGCAGGGAACAATGTCACTGGGTTGCTAGCCTCCGGTAAGGATAATGGTTGATTGGAAGCCCAACTGAGGTCAGGAGTTTCGCTTATATCTCAGCATCCTTGTATTAATGACAATCAAATTACGGTCAATGAAATTATCGGAAAAATTTCTTTTGTAAATCATTAAGTCTAGAGAAAGAACGATAATGATGCTGAGATATTTGCAATACTCCGCACCGCAGGTATCTGCGGTAGGGAATGAACGTGCTATTATCCTTTCCGGGGAGTAACGCGCTGACCATCACACCATGCGGATCCTTCGTTTCCCCTGTCTCTCAGCTAGTTCTATTGATCACTGCCATCAGCAATCATCAGTCAATGGGATTGATCTGGGGAGCCCAAATTGGTATTGGATCCAGTTAAGCTGAGGCTATAGTTGAAATCCACAATATTGACTTTTTATTTACTGCCTCTTACTAGTTTTTACGGAACGCTGAGCTGAGAGAAGGGCGAAACGAGAACTCGCATAGTACAGTGGTGAACGCGTTACTCCCCGGAAAGGACAATAGCGCGTTCGTTCCCCACCGCATGCACCTGCGGTTCGGAGTTTTACAAATATTTCAGCATCATTATGTTTGTTTCGCAAATAATACCCTGCCGTAAAAACTAGTAAGAGGCAGTAAATAAAAAGTCAATATCTAGAGAAAGAGTTTTCTGATCCGACTCCTATGTCATTGATCTGACTGAATATACACAGGACGACAAAAAAGCTCTGTAACTCCAGTGAACTGAAAGAGGACACTGTACATCCAAATCGCTTGTTATGTGTTAACATCAAGCTGCCCATTAATATTTAGTGACACTCTTGGTAATAGCAATGAAAAACGTTTCTTCTTACGAAAACTTCAGTACTGGTTCGATTCATACACGCGTAAAGTATGAAGAAATCCTACAATCACTAAAACACTGAGACGATCATAGGCAGTGAAATGTCTGCATTACTATTCTGACGACGATCACCACCAAAAATTGCGATTTTTACGGAACCAAAAATATAAAGGATAAGGCTCTCAGTGTTGGCAAACCCCTCAGAGATGCGTCATGCATTCGTTTTCAATAAGTATCGTTGCCGATGAATGAATGCATATCTAGCATCTAACCTTTACAATGACTCTCAGTGGCCTACTGATGTATCAAGCCAGTGCTGCTGTCCTCCCAGAAAGGTCTGGTAACAATTTGCCAACCCCGGAAGGATCGCAGGTCTGGTGAGCCTGTATTGCCAGGATCAATCCTATGTTTATTGCAGGTCACCTCTAACCACTGTGGAATTACACAGTTTTATTCCTTTCACTCTCAGGCGAAATCTCTTCAGAATCTATTACTCGAACTGCCTAAGTGTTTTTTTAAGAGCTGGCAATCAAATCCACTGTGCCGGAATTAATTGACCTACCGTAGAAAATTGTGGCGCGTGCGGCACACGTTGCGGTTGCGGCGGCGGCTGCTGCTGCGGTTGTTGCGGCTGCGTTGGCACCACCGGAGCAGCGGGTGTTGACGCCGAACATTCGGCCTGTAATAAGTATCCTTCTTCTAAATATTCGATAGATCGAATGTTTCTGTCAATATACGAAATCTATGAAAATTAGTAACTTTTTAGTCTTTAGGAAAAATTCCTAGAGATACAAAATATCCAGCCAATTATTAGCTGCCTAAAAGTTCAAGGACAAAACTATTAAAGAATAATAGTTGTCATAAGCAAGGATATAAACAGCACTCGACTATTAGGCCTTTTGTTCTGAGGTTTATATACTTTTGTTCCCCATTTTCTTTCATTTTTTTCGTATTCTGGGTCACTGCAACTGGTTAAAACATTCGGGAAAGAACTATATATAGACAATGATGCTGAGATATTGACAAAACTCCGGAGCGCTGGTGTTTGCAGTGGAGAATGAACACGTTATTGCCCGTAAGAGGTTAATGTGTTCACCACCACACCATGCTGGTCCTTTGTTTCGCCTGTCTCTCACCTAACTCTAGCGATCAGACTACTAGCAATTACTCTTCAACGGGATTGATCTGGAGAGCCCAAATCGGGAACGAACCCATCCAGCCCCCGGGAAGGGTAATAGCGCGCTCGTTCCCCACCGCAGACACCTGCAGTCCGGAGTTTTGTAAATATCTCAGTGCCATTGTGGTTGCATATATAGACATTTTTCTACATAGCTTAACAAAGATACATTTCAAATTTCATGCTCCGATCGCGTATTGGTCCGAACACAAGTGACGTTCTCAGCCCTATAGAAGAACTCCACTGAAACTCCTTAGAGGCCATCTGGAGAAATGAACATTTTAAATTCGCGCTTTTACAAGAAAAAAAAAGCACATCGCAATGTTTTCGTCGAAAAATTTCCATACATTGTGTTATAGATCGCATACAGATTGAAAATGAATTTCTTCAATAGCAACGGCTTTTGCAATGTTTTCGCTTTTTTCGTAATGGGCAAACCTTCTTCTTCGCTTGTTCGTCGCGCATTTTCTTTCTGGCCAGCACCTGAATATGTGATGAGACTTGTTTCCGTGTCCGCGTCTTTCCGCATCGTAGTTTAATATACCGCGCGATCAACTCGTTACGACCTGAACATCTTCAACTTAAAGGTGATCACAAACAACATCTGGGAACTGTATTCTGTCTAATATATGTGCCTGTGTGTCCATGCGTATATATGCGCATGTACATCTGTATACACGTGTGTATACGCCGGTGTGTGCATGCGTGTGTATCGGTGTCGGTGTGCGCGTGTGTGTGTGTGTGTCTGTATTGATGCGTGTATGGTGAGAATGGAATCGGAGATGAAACGCAATGAATGAAATGAAGATGACAACGTAGAAAAAAGTAGAATACACAAAACTGTCGTTGTTCACGACTAAGGAGTGCTGAGGAACACCACAAAATGGATAAACTTAAAAATGTGAGGTGATAATTTTTAAAAAATTAATGAATAAGACTTATGGAACATAATGACATTAAATGACCTTTTCCCGGGAAGGACTACATGTTGTGCTTACTCATGGATGTTAATCACCTGTATCACCATTCATGGATTTAATACTATGCAAAAATTACCAAATGTATGTTTGTTAATAATGTGGTTCATGTAGCGCAGTAGTTAAAGGAGCTCTGCAATACACACGTGACCGTTTGTTCGATTCTCCGATCTAGGATAATTAAACTCTTAGACATTTGGGCTCGACAAATCGGTACCAGATGCACTTCTACGTTACTACGAATGTTGTCAGATCCATGGCTCATCTCTAAGTGAATGGTACAATGTAGAACGTTTTGTTTTGTTTATTCTCCATCTTCAATAATCAACTAGACCGACGATGAAGTGGTCCTACATGATCCAATTAATCGATCGTTGATTATATAACTCACAAAGTATGGTTGTATTGCAACGATGCCGTGGTTTGTTGTTCAATTATACCGTAAATAAGAAATCGTGGAAAAAAATTGGACGTGACAACGGCTATAACAAATGAATCGGCGGCAAAAAACGAAATCAACGATGGATCCCAACTGGTCCTTAGTGGATGGAGACAATGGTGATGACCCATAATATTGCGTAGTCTCCCTTATATCGATAACTAAACTAACCAGCTTTTGAAATTTAAACAGTAAATGTGTATTGTCAGACAATCGCGTTTCATCTCAGAGATCGATTGTTGGTCGAATATGAAGCTTAATTCAGTCCTCAGAAGTTAAACGTGTCAAAATAGCTGGAAGGTATTCTTCACTGTCGGGTTTCGCAATTCAGACGACTGTGCGCTTAACTGACAACAGGAAAACGGATGGAATAACAAAGATCCTCTTAACGAACCATAAAGCTCGACGGCCGCCCATGATTGCGACCTGGTCAACCTGATCTTCCATGCACCGGATTTCATCAGAAAAAAATTGTAAAATCAACAAAATAGCAGTTAAAGAGAAGCCGTGAGGTCGTTCAAGAATGAAAAACCCGCCATAAACAATTTTTATTTACTAAAGTCATGTTGGTCATATTAGTTCCACATCCAGGTCCCTATCCGGTCATTTTCGGACTACCATGCCCNAAAAACCCCGCCATAAACAATTTTTATTTACTAAAGTCATGTTGGTCATATTAGTTCCACATCCAGGTCCCTATCCGGTCATTTTCGGACTACCATGCCCATCGCTAAATGTGTGTGATCCCGCTCATCAGTCATAGTGATTTAGATATTTGACCGAAAAAATCCACAAAACCACCCCTGTCCATCTGTTGGTCGTCGTCCTAATCCTTTATCGGTGCAATTATGTCCGTTCGATGTCAGTTGTTGAACTCGTTGAATGACCTCAACTGAGAATGATATACGCGACATGTAGTTGGGATATGAATTGATCGCCTGTCGATTAATCTTTAGGCTCACATATGAACCTGTTGACTGTCAATTTCATTGTGCTTATACATTTACATGGTGAATTCTCAAATATTGTGCTATTCTTGGCAGTTCATTCGGTTCGTTGTCTTGCATTGGTCATCCATGAAGGTCTTCGGATTTAGGTAAGGATTTAGCTGTCACTACAGGTGCCTTCCTCAAAATGTCACTGAACGCTGATTAAGCGAATCTTCCCTGGATTTCTGGAGTAGTACTACTAGAACGCTCCCTGGTCTTCACCCCAGGTAGCAGCACACTGGTACGGATCATACAAAGCTTTCCTCAGATAGGCCTGCTTGCAATTTTCCGACATCCGGGATTGAGAGCTTGGTTGTTCCAAAATAGTATTACAAAAGCGACCATGGCAGTTCTGGGTGAAATTTCTAACAAATCTGCTTTCTGCACTTAGAGTGTTAATAATGATGGGACTCTTGAGTTTCATTAGTTAACCAGAAGATGACCGACACGGGCCTATAATCGTAGGAAATAATTAACAGCTGACGTGAACACAATCTAGTGAAGATATTTAACTTTCAAAGAGCAACGGAAAACGCTGAACAGTTTAGTGGCTAGGTCCTAGAAAATACTTAATAATGCAAATCCGATCAATATCAAATGGGAAGCTTCGACATGGTAGCACTAGATGTTCTACATTAAAACTGCATAAATACTAGTAAGCCGAGCACCTTTAAGCGCCTCATTTTAACCAGAGTTAATTAACCAATAGTTTAAATCCTTTAATCAAAACAAAACTTGCTAGCGATGAGGCTATAGTAATATTTTATGGTTTATAGACTCATCACCGCTACCGTTTCAACTTCTATAGAGCACCAGGGAGTTAACGCTGAGAAGCTGCTAGACAGCTCTATTCGGAAATTCAGTAAACAGTAACTATATCCTAGGAATCAATGACACCTTAGCAAAAGTCTACCCGCAATTTGGTAAACCTTCCTGTCTTTTAATCACATGAACCGACAATAGCTCTAATGAAGAATTTAAAATGTCGCGGCAATAACCGGGCTGGATGTCCAGGAAAAACTCTTCTCGTCAGTTCAGTAACGTACCAGTAAAGTAAAATTCTGTTACCGCCTTACGATTCTTTGCGAAGACGGACCATTAAAGTACACGATCGTATTATATAGAACCTATAAGCCGATAAATGGTCTGATATTAACGACAAATAAAAAGGATTATAGTACCATAATGAGAGTAGTGGTGCACTGTATCTCATGTGCTCCCTGGCTGGTGATTAGCTTGGTTGACAGCAAGTCAATGATGATGGTGTGCTATAATTGTGTTTGTCGAGCGTTGTAGGTGACGAGCCGAACCACATCCCTAATCCAACTACGAACGCATCGTATCTACAAGGCACCGATGGCGACGAGTAAACATCTCCTAGGTCACCCACTACTCGTTCAGTCGTACACTAGATCGAGAAGGAACATATTTGCCGAAGTGCAACCGAACAGCAGACGAGATAGAACGGATAGAGATTGACGAGTTGACAGTTCCTTTAATGCCGATCAACAAACACGCGAATTCAAGTGATCTAAACAGAACACGGAGAAGAGATCAGCGTTTATGAATCTTTTAGGAATTCGATGTGCACTCGACTCCATTCCTAGCACTATGGCAATTCTTGAGTGACCGTGGTAAAAATACACTCAACAATTTCTGTTCATATAATAAATTTCGCTGGTATACCGATATATCAAGTTAGTCTTTTCTGTTCTTCTAGAGAAATCTGGTACCAACACCAAAGCGACAGAGGGTTTGGTGCTCCTGAGGGCTATGCCGGATCGAACTGTTGGCCAAATGTGTGTTCTTCAGCACCTCTAACCACTGTGCTACAAGGTAACCGCTCCATCTTAGTGATAGTTTCGAGAGTTTTTGGGGCCTGAACCGTTATGATCAATTTGCACAAAACTATGATGTAACTCAAAAGATTAGAAAGCGAGAAATCCACGTATAACTTGCTGGATCCCTCTATCTGTTAATTGCCTCATTGGTTAAGTAGGTTTCTGGTATCCCAACTGCGATGCACTAACAGTATCGTCAGCAGGTGGTGAACACAGTGTTAAACGGGAAACTATGATAGCTTCTACTTGTTGGGACACCTAGATGGTTTCAGTAGCTGAGCGTCTTTTTTTCAATGTTCAATATGTATAATAGAAATATTTATTCGTAAAGGAGTGTTTAGGGTCAATGTAGAACGTATTCCGGCAAAGTCATGAAATTAAAAGAATGAAAAGTGGCCCTCAGTTGTCTCCTCAACGGATAAGCCACAGGTCTAAATCAAGGAAACCCAGAAATAGACTGTGATCCCATCCAGGACTTCTTACACCAAATTTCTATCCACTATAGAGAACCCGGTAACCTTCGTTAATACCCGTTCCACAACAATAACCAAAACAAAACGGCCCTCCTATGAAATCTTAACGTCGTTGATGTTTTTCCTCTCTCTCTCGAGACTGACAGTCCATTGCTGCGTTTTAGAACGTAATGGCGATCGATGTATGATGACTCGGAACGGTGGCCATTTTTGACCAGTGAATCATTCGATGATCAACGGGATTACAGTTTGGCGATGAGCTCAGTCGTTTACGAGGTTGTGGTCAAGGATGGATTACGCTTGCTTATAAACTTAGGACGACGCTTAATCCTCGGCGTAGGGGTCGTCAAAGATGAGCCGACCGAACCTTCACCACAACAAGGAAGGCACTTGACCGACGACAACTACAACACAGAACGGTGGAAGCACACGTCTGCTTCTAACATAAACATAGCCACGGCTATCGTATCCCGAACATTATGGAATCATTAGACAAGTCGTCACGACTACAATCGTTGACTGAACCGTTATTAATGGTTTTTCTACTTTTTTCCCTTTATTTTTCCTTAATATAAAAATTCACGGAAAGGAAAGTGTAGAATCAAGTAAAAACATAATTCAAAGAGAATCAAGCTTCCGCCTTCTGAAATCTCTCTGGCATACAATGGGTGTCTGTGAAGGAGAAAAAAGTACGATTCAACAACGAGTACAATGTTTCCTTCTGAGAGCCCCAACTGCCGATACAAAGGAAAAAATCAGTTCATTTCATAAAAAACCGTCCCATTCTTCTCTTAGGAAAAGTTATACAAAAGAGAAAAAAAGGAATGTGCATGAATTTAAGTTATTA